TAATTTCTTTTCTGCCACTCACCACATCACATTAAAATATAATATAAATATATATATATATACACACACCTGGTGTCGCGGTCGTTGGGTTTGTCTGGGTCGGTGTGGAAGCTGTGGCGGCAGCCTCGGCAGCAAACTGAGGAGTATTAAAAAATTGGAAAACTACAACTTCAGTTCCAGTGGACGTTTGTGAAATCTACCTGTTTCCTGTGGAATAAGTAGGCACTTGTATATAATAAGTCAAAGCAGAGCCCGTGCTGAACTCAAACAATCCAACAAAAAATGGAAGAAACATTTACAATAGACTTGGGACCTTCCAGTTACAAGTTTCCTTGCTGCCGTAAAGCGTTTTCAAGAAAATCAACGAAAGTGAAAAGGTGCAGCTAAAGTAAATTAGACGTTCAAGGGGGGGGGGGGTTTGCACCTGAACGCTATCTCGCTTATTACAAAACAGAATTTTACCAAATTTCACACATATAACAAGCATAGTAGGGAGTCTTAAAAAGCACAATCAAATTTGAGAAAAAGTTTCGTTTCCATGGATACGGCGGCCATATTGGATTTTGTTGACATGTCTTACGTAATGAATACCGTACTTACTGCTCAAGGAAATTGATTGTTTTTGCAGGCGTCTTCACAAACATTAGATCTAAAAATTTGTCTGTTGTTGTTTTTTTCCTAAACGAATTTTTTTTTTTTTTAATGAATTTTTTTCTGAGGTACCATTCAAGTTTGCAAAAAATCCGTGAAAATCCAATCTCAGGACACAACCAACAAAAAACTATTCCAAATATCAAAAATTCAATGAGAATTTTTAGTATTACATCTTCTCTTCATTCTGTGAAAATTTCATGAAGATCCGATAAAAAATGGAGAAGCTATTAAAAAAAGTAGCTATAGAGAAAAGTTGCGTTTTGAGAAAACAGCCGGTAAAGAAAAATAAAATACTAACTTTATGAGGAAATGGTGGTGATAAACATGCCCGGTAGGGGAAAAAATACGGTTTTGGGGATTTTTTTTATGCCCTGAAATAGTTGTAGGAGAGACTGAGGAAGCTAAATGTGCCTACAACTCAAATTCTATAATTTTGAGCCGAATCGGGACTTTGGGGGTGTAGCGCCCCCCCCCCCCCCCCCC